TTCAAAAACAGTACTCACAGATTTTTTCAAAGATGAAAGCTGTGACCTAAGTTTGCCTTTTGAGTAGTGCACACAAGAACCATTTAGTTTCAAAACTTGCTGTGTGATTCATTTCGAAGGGGAACTGTGATGCCATGCCACCAAGTGTGAACCATTGAACTCTCAAGTCTCATGGCAGCCCACTCAGTTTCTCATGAGAAAATGTCCCTAGAATAAAATTAAACCTTTGTTCTAAAGCCATTTGCCATCTTCCTCATTTGTTCAGTGACTGTAGTAATGATGACTGATCAGTGCCATGATTTTGAAGTGGGGCACTAAATGATAAAACACTCCGAAGAACGGTAAGCGATTTTGCTGTATAATAAGAGATAAAGGCTAGTAAAATATTTCTCACAACTATTTGAATTTAAGAGTTTGCATATACAATGACTGAAGTCTTTTATTTATGCTACAATATTAATAATAAAATTATACATAAATTAATAATAAAATTGAGAGACTTTGATAACTAAGAAATTTTATTACATAGCATACATATACAAGCAAATGAAAGAAACCATTTATTTGAAAGTTGTATCTAGGAATAGTATAAACAAAATAAATTGTGAATATTCACGATTGTCACTAAATTACTATATAATGAAATTGCAGATGATGCTTTCTAGCTTACTAAAGATTACTGTCAAAATATGTATGTAAATATTTTAATTGGTTGCAATTCATTTAAATTATTCTTGTACAATAAGTAATATGTTCACAGATACATGATATATTTTTATGTAGGAAATTAAATATAGAAATGTAGACCATTGCTGAAAACATTATATCAAATAAATGCAAAAATATATGCATTATTTAATTGCTTAGCATGCATAGACAAGTAAACATAAAAAAGAAACCATTTATTTTAAAGTTGCATCTAGGAAGAGTATAAACATAATAAATTGTGAATATTCATGATTGTCACTAAATTGCAATACAGTCACCAAGTAGATTATGTTTTCTAGGTTATCAAATATTGCTGTGTGAAAATAACTAAATTAATCTTATACACTAAGTGATGTTCACCCATACATAATCTATTTTATGCAGGAAATTAAATATACAAATGTATAGAACACTACTCAAAAAAAGTAAGATATATGCAATATTCTATTAATTAATTAATATCTCATTTTAGCAAGTGCTTAAAACTAAAGATCTTAATATTTGCTTTATTTGATAATTTCACCGATAAAGAAAGAGAGCATTCTGAAAACAGCAAACTGAAAATCAGTTTTCACTCCTGAAGAGAAAGAGAGAAAAGCCGCCCGCGGGTTGATGTATTTCCAGAACAAGTGTCAGATGTGCCATTAGAGAGAGAATTAGAGGAGATGTAGCTCTGGTGCACGTCTCCTTGACCCAGGCAGCTCAGACACAGGATCGAAGCTCTGCGCCTGAAATGCTGATCCAAAAAGAAGTAGATGGCTGGATTTACACAACTGTTGAGAAATGCCAGGCAGCAGGACAGCGTGAGTCCATTAACTATAACCACCTTTGTTTCCCCACTAAGATCTCCCGTGCTCATCAGTAAGATGACCTGCATGGTCTTGAACAAATTGAAAGGTAGCCAAGAGATCAGAAAAGCCGCAATTATGGCAAACACGATCTTGAGCGAATGTCGACGTCTGGCTTCTGCACGTGAGTTTGCAGTGGTGTGACAGTGACGCCGCAGGTTAACCAAAATCGACCCATAACAGAGGCAGAGAATCAGTACGGGGAGCAGGAAGGTTAGAAATATGGTCAGGAGATTCATTCCTTGGACAAAAGAGGATTTCGAATCCTCCGAACACAACATATCGCCTGTCAGCCGACGGTACACCAGTGATGGGATTCCCAGGAAGAAGGAAATGATCCACACGACGCCACAGGTGATCTGCGCACAGTTGCTGCTTCGCAGAAACTGAGAGTCCATGAGGCGCACGACAGCTAGGTATCGGTCTATACTCATGCACGTGAGGAAGATGATGTTGGAAAAGCGGTTGACCGCAATGATGAAGCTGCTGATCTTGCACATGGCCTCACCGAAGGGCCACTCACCAAAACTGGCTGCAATCGCCCACAGTGGCAATGTGAAGACAAACACAAGGTCAGCTGATGCCAGGTTTATCACGAAGGTGTCCACAAGACGTCCGTTTTTCTTACGCCGCTTGCCGATGACCACAATGACGAACAGGTTCCCCAAGAAGCCAGTGAGGAACATGACGAAGTACAGCACAGGAATGTAGATACTGGACATGGGCATCAATACAGAATCGTTCTCGACAGGGGTGTAGTAGTCGTAGTTATCTGTGGAATTCATTGAAAATTCATGAGCATAGTCATCGCTTGTGGAGTTCATTGTAACGTCAGAGAGTGCCATCTCTGTGCTGCTTGCCATCTGTGCACAAGTGATGGGCAAAGTAGAGAAAACCTAGCATGTCACATGCTTAGAAACCACAAACTGCAATAACAGGCTCTCTCTCTCTCTCTCTCTCTCTCTCTCTCTCTATTTCCTTAAAACGTTTAAATTTATCACAAAGAGGCGCATTTTCTCAAACTTCCAGTTCTGAAATGTGAATTACAGATTTTTATTTCCATCATGTCAATATATAGATAGTTAGAGAGACTTGCTTTATTGCTAACTGGGTCATGAGAGTAGTTACTTTCTAAAAAGCTGTTTTTCCTCAACAATTGATGTGAGAATCTTGACACAAATGTTTGTCATGAGATCTTTTGTCATGGGAATAAATAATGTTTAAGCAGTTTTCTCATATACAATACGCACAATCAGTTCCTCTTAGCAAGACTAAGAGAAAAAACAAAATGCACACAGTTGCAAAAAGAAGTGAGAAAATTATGTACCACTAGGCTGGTGAGATTTATTTCTGTAATTCAACTGTGCAACAAACTGAAGGATAAGAGTGTGAAAGGTGCAGAGCTTATTTGAGAAGTCTTCCGAGCTGCTGTGGTTTCAGGGCTACCACAAATTTTTTTACACTAAATTAACTTTTTTTCCTCTAACAGATATAAGAACAAGACAGGATATGAATGTTTGATACAGGACTACTTTTATAGCTTTCTGTCACAACAAATGTAATAAAAATAAATAAAATGGGCATGTAAAGGTGTGGTAACAGGACATTTTGAGGGAAAATGTGTTGCGAGGTATGAACACAGCTCACATGAAATTCTGTTTGGTCAACATGGTGAATCCATGTGGCGAACTTTGACTCGTTGCGAAATCTGCTTAAGGAAATGTTTTGCCAAAGTGTAATTGCACGTCTTGTAGACTGCTTTCAAAATTACTGGATTTCGTCCACGAAACAACGGTAGATGCAATCGCATCTTCAAAAATTTCAAAGTGAACTCCAGTGTCTCAATTGTGTACTAACACATCGTTGCATATGTAATTACATATTATCAATTTGATTTTTTCAGTTTAAGATTCCTTTAAAATATTTTTTAGGATATATTTTACTCAAGACATCTGTTTGCATGTGTACACCCGTTGTACTTTTTTTTTGCAGATTGTTTTTGAGAGGACTAGCTATTGATGTGGTTCCTGTTTTACCTTGTAATGTTTATCACCCACTGGGTTTAGAGGCGGTTACATAGCGGTTAGAGATGTTGGCAGTAACCTGAAGGGTCGAAGATTTCCTGTGCTGATCAGTGTGCAAGTCAGCAGAAAGTCCCCTCTATCCAAATCCTGCAAGACACAATAAGGACTACATTAATACAATTAAAATTACATTTTAAATTAAATATTACATTTTTAATCATGACAAAACATAAACACCAACTGCTTACCTCAAATTTGTAAAAGCTCTGTATGCAGACAATACAGTGCTGTACTTGTGAAAATGATGTTTATGCATTTGGATTAAAACTAAATCGTAAATATATGACAATTTATAGGGGCATTCACTATAAACGTCATTCATTTTCACCCTTAAGCATACGACTTTCTGGCGAAAGTGAAACTAACAGCCTGAGTGAAATGTGCTAGGCTGTACTGTACTTGTCACTCTTATTCTGCATCAGTACAAATACGTGAACGCGTTGCGCATGTTTTGCTCGCTTCATGAGGGTTTCTGCATTATATGAGTGGCTTTGGAAAATAAATCGCTGCACGTTTCAGATGAAAAAAACGCGACTTCTGTTTATGAAAATATCACAGTTAGGAGATTTACCACTCGCTATAAATCTCCTAACTGTT